CAGACTAATCTCAAAAGCAGAGCCCTCAGGGGACTGGGAAAGGAATGCACCCAGCCACCTGGCCACAGTTTGAGGAGAGACACCATACAAATGACTAGTCAGCTGTCCACTGCCTCTGCTCTGCCAGGCTCGAAAAGTAAAAACACTGAAAACCAAACCCACACACACACCATGGAACACCTCCACCATTTGTGGTGGTCTCAGAGGATGCAGAGCCCCACACAGATGCTGCAGGCTCTGGCCCCACATTCCTGCCTCCTACATACCAGCCGGTCAGTACTACTTATACACAGCTGTCAACTGTGGAGCTGACATGTCCAAATCAAGGGACAGGCACTAGACTAAAGTTTGTGCCCACAGCTGACAAGACAAAGCATGGGAGGGCAGGGAAGGAGCCTACACTCACACCTCAAGTCACAAGAAGGTTAACCATAGTCCCTGCTGAAACTTGGGTCTTGCCTTGCTCCTGGCTGTCTGACCCACAGCCCTCCCATTCTGGAGGGCTGCAGAAACTGGAAAACTGAAGACAAACATGCACAAAAAATAATAGAAAATTAAGCTTCTTACCCTACTTGTTTACAACTGTCAAAAGTGAACCTGTGCCCCAAAAGGCCCTGATGCACAGTAACCCTTCAGCCTATTCTCTGTCTCCCCTCCCAGCTTCTTCATGTCCTTTCAAGAGCATTTTCCATTTCACAGCTACTCACTGTCCTTCTCCACAGGCACTCACTCTGCAGTTGTCTCAAAAACCCCAGGGCTCACAACTGGAAAGCAGAAACCTGGTGGGACAGAGGCAGCAGCGCAACTGGTGTGGAGAGTCAGTACCCGGGACAGACTCCTTTTCTTACGTTACAGCCTGAATCTCCCCCCAAACCATATGCTCTATTCACCAGTTCAGGCAAACAAAATTCATGGTCAGCCAGCTGCAAGCAGGCAGATTAAGCCTATATGTCTCTCTCTCTCTAGTATCTTTAGTCTTAAAGTTTATGCAAAATTGAATCTAAGAATAGATTCTAGTTAGGGAAGAAACCAAATAACTATATGCCAGCTGTCTTGCAGATGCTTTAAAATAGTTACTCTTACTCATACTTTCATAAGCTGGAGATTTAGTGACTGACATCTTCAGAGAATCCACACAAGCAGCAAGTTGCCAGTATTCACAAAAGTTATTCTACACAAAGCTGGGGAAATAGTCTCAATGCAGAGAGAAAAGTGGACAAATAGGGAAAACCAGTGTATGGACCTTGATCTTATCGACACTTATATGTGTTCTCACCTTGAGGTCAATAGGACCTCTTGGAAGAGTTAAACCCAGGCTTACGAGTTTCCCAGGCTTTACACTTTCAGCACTTTAAAAAAACCCTTTATATAAGATATATATAAATTACAAAAATAGGTCAATTTAGCAATGATAGAAACAGTGGCAATGGTTGGGTAGAGACCAACAAGAAACAGCTCACAGCAGAAGTTACTTGTTCCCCTGCAAGAGTCGACAAGAAAGTGATTATGGAGTCAGAGCAACAAATCAGTCCACTAGTTGTTGAGGGAGACTGGGGGGGGGAACCAAAAGACAGAAATAGACACTGAATAGCTTGAACCTGACCTGAAGATCATATGCTGAACAAGATGGGCCTTCTCAACCTCCCTGCATGCTGAAGCTCAAAAACCACTGCAGACATCAAGTGCCATTGAAACACATGGAGACAACTTCCAAAATCTAAGTCCCTCCTCCAACAGGCTGGCATGGCCAAAGGAGGAGGGCACAAAGACAGGGAGCAGAACAATATGACGTGTGGCCAGCCTGGTGGCAGCATACTTGCCCCAGTGTCATGGGGCTGAGACCACTGTCTGGGGTCATCCTGGGCCCACATAAACAGCAGGACCCTATCCCAGGACAGACCACATACACCCAACTGTCACTCTACCTTGCCATCTCCAACAGGTCTGTCATCATGGAAACAAAGTCCAGTTTTCAGGGCTATTTTAAAAGCAGGAAGGTCTCTTTAGGACACCAGACCCATGTGGTACAAGCCACCCCTGTGCCCATCATCATATGCAGGCAGTGCATTAACATGCACCAAGTTAGAAGTGGCACATGGAGCCAGACCACATCTCAGCATGCAGCAGCACACAGCACCTGAGAAGATGCCTTTGCTGAAAGGATTTTTCAGCTCCAGGTCACGTGAACTGCTGGTGTAACAGAGACAATAAGATGCACTACAGGCACCACGTCCATGTCCACATAATCTATCCATACGGGCTAAAAGGCCTGTCCCTAAAAGACCCTGGGGTTTCCCCCTCCTCACAATTTCCTTGTCTTTGCCTGGTCATAAACACTCACTGGCCTGGGAAGGAATGGCATTTCTGCACACCCTGGGAAAGAGCCTGTCAGCACTCATTGCCAGGACAACTGCAAAGAAACACTGCATTACTAACCTCACTGCAAAGCAAGAACAAATCCTGTTTGCCATGTGCTTCAAGCACAACACCAGGCCCTTAGTCCTCCAGAGCTAAGGGCAAAGCTCTGAAATGGATCCAGACCCAGCTTAAGTGCTCTGTGGCACCACCCTCCTCCTCACACGGCTGCTGAGCACAGGCACACAGGTCCACAGAACATGTGCTTATACCAGGTGTGCACAGAGAAATGCCAGTGCCATTCATGAGCCTCCTCACTAGCCTGATTCCAGCCCCAGCCCTGAGGGGCAGGGTCCTGCAGAATCACAGAGCCTTGCCAAAACCATGAAAACACCATGAACTCATGACAGCTGTAAGAGCTCACCAGTCTGCCCAGTGGGGGTGTCATTTGGGAAATACAACTTTTTTGGACATTCTATATATAAGTTACTCAGCCAAACTCATTTCTCACTCAAGATGCTTTCAATCTCCAATGTCAAACCCTGCAGTACTGCCATCCACAAAATCCTCTCTTCCTGCTCTCACAGATTCAAGGACTGAAAAATCAACAGGATGATGCCTTTGAACATCTATCAGATGGCCAGGTTCACTCTAATACTGCAATTTCCTCAAGTATTTCTCGGAGCTTCGCTGTTTTGAAGTCAATAGGTACAGAAAGGTCATGAACATGATTCCACAGTTAAGATTAAATAAAATCCCAAACACCAAGAACAACTCCTCCTCCTCCTTCTCTCTTATGAAACACACTGCAGAGTGAACAGAAGATGAAATGTTTTGCATACATCTTCTATTTTTAAACCCACTTGTTAATGTTTCTTGGCTTTTTAAAACATCATTTGACTAGAGCTCTATTAATTACCCAGTGGTCTCAGCAGTATGAATTTCTTCAGGATTTTTCTCCAAAGGAAACTCCCCTCACTTTTAGCCTAGTTTGAAGCTTCTCCCTATTAACTTCCATAGAAGCTTGGTTTCTGATGTTTCTTGTGCTTGTTTTTCCTGGCATAACTAATATCTCCTGTACGTGTTAACTTAAAAATATTCACATAAACCAGCTAGAAAATGTAAAAATGAAAGACTTTAAGGAGATGATGCTTCCAGATCATTTCCAAAACCCTCTCACATTAAAAAGCCTTGTCACAGGTTTTATTAGTTGTCCTCTTGTGAAATCTCTAATAGATTTCATCTTGTTATAAGAGAGCCCTTTGGACTACAAAACTGCCAGCCTTTGAACACACGTCTGGTGGATCTTCACAAACAGTTTAGCTTGTTAATGCTTAGGCACAAGCACTAATCTCTCTCCCCTTTATTGTGATGCAGCTTAGTACTCTGCTGCCTTGTACAGTAAAGCTAGTGGTGAAGACATAAACCAATTATTAGGAGTGAAAGTCTGACACGGCAATTATTCCTCACAGTTCGTTAATTCATGGTCTTGCTCCTCTCCAACTACTAGTTTTCACCCTGAACTTCCTTTCATACCAGCAGGCATCGTCACACCAGAAAAAGCAAGTTGGATCTCTTCTTCCCACCATTCTTGCATTTCCCTTTTTTCTCTTCCAGGTGTTTTAACTGCTGAATTACAGGTAACTGTTAAAAATGTTGTGTGTTTTCATCAGTTTCTAGGCATCGTCACTTCCCACAGCCACAGAATCCATAAAACCGCAGTTATGTCTTTACAAGATGGTCAATGACTTCTTGATGGGTGTTATTTTTTTCTCTGCTTGTTTTTTAGTTTCTAAAAACCCTACAGCTTCAGCAAGACAGGTTACAAGACTGGGGCAGCACCTGAAGTCACATTCCTGCACATGTATTTAGAAACATAAATAAGATTACCTGATTTTCATTTTGAGATAACAGAAAGCTCCAGACACTCCTTACTGAAAAATTAAGTGTACTTTCAAAGGTTGGTTGGTTTTTAATAAACCTGAAAGGGACCTCTGGAAACCATCTTGTCCAACGCCTCATTCAGCACATGGCCAACTTGGATGGGGTTGCTCAGGGCCTTGCCTAGATCAGCTTTTAATATCTCCATAGATGAAGACTTCACAGTGTCTCTGGATAACCAATGAAATGTCTGACCTGCTCCCATGGTGAAAATGATTTTTCTAACACCTAACTGGAATTTCGTTTCTTGCAGCTTGCAGTCACTACTTTTTGAGCTATCAGTGTGTGTCTCAGAGGAGTCTAGCTTTGTCTTCTCTGCACTCTTTCATCAGATAGTCAGAGACAGCAATAAGATCTTCCATCTCCTTCTCCTCCAGAAGACTAAACAAAACCCACCTCACCCTTTCCTTACATGTCATGTTCTACAACACCCAGACTTCATGGTGATCCTCATTTGACTCATTTCATTTATCATTCTCCATTTAGCCTCAGCAGATTCAAACACATGGAACCAAGTGTATTTCTGGCCCTTCTCCTATTTGTTTTTGATGAATAGTTAACTTCTAAGTCAAAATGTTTACAATGCAAAGTTAGTAACCTCTGCAAGAACCATTCACATGCACCCTCAGCACATCATCACCCCACCAGGAACACCTCATTACCACATCATCACAACATATGAACTTGGGCTCAGTGTGTTCTACCTTCATTAAAGTTGTCATCAGTCGAGATGTGGGTCAAGGGAGACTGGGGTCGAGAGTCCCCACAGAGGGAATAGCTGTGTTCTGCCTGGATGAGGGGTGCTGGGGATGCTGGAGACAGTTCCACCTCCATTATTTCATTCTTCTCAGACAAGAAAGGATCATTCAAGAGCTGGCCTAGGACATCAGGTGAAAACTCATCCAGGAACTCTGTGAAGTGCTGTGGAGATAAAAAAAGAGGAAAGTTTATCTCCTTGCCTGTCTGTCATGCCAATAACAGGAGAGGATTGATCAGAACAATCCTGTATCTACACTGAGCATCCGTGCCAGTCAGCAGCAGGATCTCCCAGCCCTGCCTAACAACCTTCTCCTCCAATCACTACTTCAAGCTGAAGAGCTACAGCTAGAACAAAAGTCCTCTTAGAGGCATACATTGCAGCAGAAGAGCCTGTCATTAGCCTGCAACAAAAATGGAAAATAGAAGCATGGTACTCATGTAAGCAGCCTCCTCCCCCCACACCAAAGGTCCTCACTACAGTCCACCACCAAAAATGGCAAACCACACTTTACCCAGACAGCGTGAAAGATCCTGCAGGATTTATCACCAGAGCATTTTGTGTGTGGAATAGAACATAGTGGGTTAATGTTCACTGAAGCGGAGAACAAAACTGAAACACATTCAGACACAGACTCTGACACCACACATGACTATTTTAGCTGTGCAGAACATATAGTGTGCTCTAGGAAAACGGGTCCATGCATACCTGCAGCCAAGCAATTAACACATTTGCTATAAAATGGGTTTCCCAACTGATTTATGTATCTATTTTAGAAGTTGCTTTCCACCTAGGACTAGAGCCCATAACCAGATTCTAGGCCTCAGAGCTAAAGTTCCTGACAGCCAGTACTCCTTACCAGTTTACCTGTTCCTCTGAATTCATTACACTAGCAGCACATGTTATATCTGCATGTAGTAGGATAACTTTGTGTTTGCTTCTTATTCAAAATGAGCACAAACCAAATCTTGCAATCTATTTCCTTGGGACTCCAATGCAGTTCCCAACAAAAGCCAAAAATTCGGTGTCTCTTCTTGGTTTTGTTTCCAGCATCAGAAGACTACATCTTTGACAGATGAAGACACTGCACTGCAACAAATCATTCAAAAACTCACTCACAAATTCTATTTTTGTACAAAAATATTTGTACAGTGAATTGCAACGAGCTTTTCCGAACAATCAGGCATTATCTGCCATCTTATGTAGGACTCTATGTCGACAGAGGCATGATGCTATAAAAGTCTAGGTTTGTTTGATTTGCTCTGGTTTTGCAAGCAGTATTGATCTTGGCTCTACCTCTTGCTCTCTCCTGCAGAAGCAAATTCTATTTTTGTACAAAAATATTTGTACAGTGAATTGCAACGAGCTTTTCCGAACAATCAGGCATTATCTGCCATCTTATGTAGGACTCTATGTCGACAGAGGCATGATGCTATAAAAGTCTAGGTTTGTTTGATTTGCTCTGGTTTTGCAAGCAGTATTGATCTTGGCTCTACCTCTTGCTCTCTCCTGCAGAAGCAAATACTGAAATTCAAGATTCGGCTTCCTGTAGGCTAAATTAAGAATTAAACAAGTCAATATTGTATAAACCCACGAGGCAAGCGGTGTGCTCACAGCCTCATGCACTCATATTTCACAGATCCAGCAGCACCTGTCTTGAAGCCTGTTGCTGGAATACTCTGAGCACAGCTGGGTCTCACAGAGTTCCCTGGAAGTTCGAGCACCTTTTCCAAGATGCTTACAAATGCTAACTGTGCCTTCTCTCAAAATCAGTAGGTCTTCAGTCAATTCTAACTGACACTGAGGAAAAGCAAGTATTTACTGAACATAAGGCAATAAACAGAGGACCACAGTTGCTATGCTGGGGCAGCAAGCTAGCTAAAGAAAAGCCTTTACAAATGGCAAAACAGATCTGTAGCCTCATATTTACTCACTGTAAATGATAACACTACTAAACAAACTCTCAGAGGACTCCACAAGAGGGTCATGACCACCTTTCTTAGGGACAACTTTTTTCTCTACAGTCTACACGTTTCTTTCATTTGAGCTAATGTAAAGAGTCAATTATATTTGTTTGCATATTTTCCTAAAGCTGGAACATTTCCTTCTATCTACTTCTGGCATGCATTATTCTGACTGATGGCCAGCAGATGCTGAAATAGGGCTGCTACAGTATTTGAACCCTGATTTCTGCTTTACCACCAGCATCACCCAATTTGAGGATGTCACTCTTGAAAATATACCCAAGAGTTGACTTGGTCTGACAGTATTTAGATGTTACAATTTAGCAGACTCAGCTGAAAGACAACATGACCACAAGCTACTCAGCTGGTTTTGGCAAATTCACAAATACAGATTTCTATTAGCCTTCTGCCTATGACTGTTCTGATATGGAAAAAATTCTTATCAAATGTTATTTTACTTCTTCCATTTGATTAAAGTTAGGTCCATTTTATTTATCTTTTTCTTTATGAATGGGGAATTTTCCTAAAACCACTTCAGGAAAAGCAAAGAAGGAAGCAAACATTCAACTTCAGAAAACCAGAGAGAAAGAGGACCTTGGGGTGGGGAAGGATGTTCTACATGTTCATCAATATTTGTGCTTTCTTCTTTTCACAGGCAGCTGCAAAGCAGCAAGCTGTGAGGGAGAAAAGAAATTGCATTTACAACAGAATTGTCTGATAGCAAACAGATGGTCAGTTTCTAAAATGATTCTCTAGTTTCATTATAATTCTGAAACTTACTTTTAATGGTCTGTGATATAACTGAATACTGGTCAACAGAGAAACCTCAGACAATTGTCAGACTGTGCAGCTACTGAATTCAGTGAGCAGACAATTTTAGGGATCTAGACTTCTCACTCAGTGATAAAAAACACCATCACTTGATCTACAGGTGTCTTCACTTCTCTACTACAGTGAATGCTTACAGCTACGTAGATTTTTTTTTCTAATAAAACAATTGTCTCATTGACAGTGGCTCTATTTGCTTACAGAATTAAAAAAGAAAAGCATCTGAGCAGCAGCTAAAGTATAAGCCATCTGGGGGCAGTTAGACCTTCTGCTCCTCAAAACTTCCACCTACACCTAAGCTGCTCCTTCTGCCATTTCAAAGCACAATCTCCCATTGCCAACGTTCCTCCTCCTCCTTCCCCCTCTCTGCTTCCCCATGCACTTTAGAGGTCATCAGCCACTTCCTCAGTGGGAAAGCCCCAGAATAACCCTCAATTTTGATACAGCAGCAACCACCCCTACACTCAGGAACAGGAAAGGGCAATTTAAGGAGGAAACTGAGACTTAGAACCTGTATATATATATTTGCATGCAGAAGAAAGAAATTGTCCATGCCTTTTGGCTTGGCATCTTTCACACAGAATTCACCTTTAAAAAAAACAGAGAAAAGAGCACTTGCATTCAGAACCTGCCTTTGTTCTGCCTTTCTTTTCTTTTTTTGTTGTTAATACCTCCACAAGAACTCCTGTTGCCAGCTTCCAGCCACCCTCACACCCCGCTGGCAGCCCCACCACTAACTGCAGACATGTGTACAAGGAGTCTGGTTGAATTATTAAACTATTCTCTCCACATAGCAAAGAGATGTGTTCAGCTGGGATTTTAACCTCCGTAAAAAGTCAGGGATTTAGGACAGATGTAACCTTATCTTCTGCTTCCCCTTCCCCCAGAACCCTGAAAAGACAAACAAAACAGCAGCACTTCTGTTTACAGACAGAAAGCTGCAGCCCTGTGGAGTTTCACCACCCATGTGGCTGGACATTTGTTTTGGGAAACACAAAACATCACCTGGCAGTAAGCAAACAGAGGAAAGCTCTCACATCCAGGTGCGCACCGGATTTTGGACAGCTCTTCGAAAGTAGAATTTGGCTGCAGACCAGCTGGGCTGCAGCTCCCCACAGCATCTCCTGCTCCTCACAGACAGAGGTCCTTTTCTCCAACTGCCTAAGGGACAAGGGTGTTTTTTCTTTCTTGTCTGATCAAATGAACAACTCTGAAGCAAAACAGACTCAGGTTTTGCTAGGTGCGTGGCAGTGCTGGCTTCTCCACCAGGTGACCTGAAGCTAGATGAGAGTAGCACTAGCCCCAGTTTGTCTGAAGATGACACATTAACATGACTAAAAATGAAACAGTTATCTTCAGAAAACTGACTTTCTAAGAACTCACTAAAAAAAGGAATGAAGAGAAGTCAAGAGCCCCAAAAGACACTTCATAATTATATTTAAATTATAAATAAGTGACAGGCTTTGCTGAGCCTGGAAACCGCACTGCGTCAGCTCAAGTGCCACACGCCGACTGCAGCAGTTTCCAGCAGTCAGAGGGGAACTGCAGTGGCAGCACACTGGAAAACAAGCCCTGTCTTCTCAGCAGGCCAGGGCAAGGCAGCCATGCAACATGCCAGGGTTATAACCACCCACAAATTCAAGATATCACCCTCCTGGGACTTAGTGGCTCCCTCCTGGCTCACCATGAGGTCTCCCCATCCTGGAGGGATCAGTCACCCCTCCACAAGAGGAACTGCCAGGTAGGAGCATCCCTTCTACACAACAGGAACTCATGGGATGAAAACAAAGTCCACTATCCACCTGTAGGTGCAAAACAGCATGGTATTTACCTCTGCACGCCCAACCCCAAATTTAAACCCCAAGGCACAGGTTAAAATACTTTCTCAAGGAAGATGGTTTCGTTCCAAACATGTTGCTGTGGTTTGTTCCAAATGTGGTGCTGTTGAATTTCCTGAAACAAGTTCACTGATGATGGACTGGAGGTGTCAGTATGCACCAGCTGCCAACAACCAAGACAACTGGGTTCTCAATACTTGCTGACACTTGGGCATCAGTGACACTGCAGAGATTCAAACAAATTCTGCAGATTTTCAGGTACATTTTTCTCACAACTTCATCCCTCCTAGAAATCCTTTATGATTGCAGCAGAGAAGCAAGCCACCAGTCACCCTTCTCCAAATTCAGCCACAGGCTGTATCACATCTTTGTCAGCTCTGAGAAGAGCTCCCAATGGAGCCCTGTAGCCTCACCTATGCAATTCACACACTTCACACTCTGCAGTTCCCTGCAGGAACAGAAGAGCTAGATGGGGTGTGTTGATACATCACTGTTAGGAGGCACAGATTTAAACTCCTGCTGTGTTGCTCTTAC